ATTTAGAGAATTAGCTTTAAAGACCTCCCAAATTGAAGGACACTGTGTGATTAATTCAAACTAAATGCGTCACGTCATTTAGAGAGTGCAGCTTTGTCTCGTGCCTCGCAACTTAAAAAGAATTTGTCAACTTTACTGATTATCATTTCGAACACAAACTTCAGAATCGGTCTTTAACACAATCCTAAGTCCAATGTAGTGTCTAATAATTTCAGTGAGCCCTTTTAATGTGGCAGGATGACAGACACATGGAGTGAGCCTTTGCACTGTGCAAATCACTATTATCATATTCCTTTGGGCAAATGGAAATTACTGGGGAAAGGGTGAGAGCCAAAACCCTGTGGTATGAGTTAATTTGATTACATTTCCATTATAAAGTGTAAACACAGTTTTGCTGCTTGGCTGAACCAATTAAAAGCCTTCTGAAGCTATAAAAACACCCAAGCATAATATACTTCTGTGAATTAGATCATAATCATTAGTTATACATTTATACAGGGACTGGGGTGCATTGCTCTCATTTGTATGGATGGAAAATTGATTAAAAAACAGGAGAAACAAAAACTTAAAAGGGTTTTCTCTGTCTTCTAAGCTACTTGTTCCATTTTGGTGAAGTGAGAGTCCTGTGGCAACATAAATAAACATGGGTTGACAGCGTTTGGCATCAAGAGAGACGAGAGCGCTGCTGCCGCCAACATGGAGGACAGGCAGTGAGCACAAACAGGAGTCTGCCATCGTGTCTCACCTGAGGCCGACACGAGCCACGCGCTCGGCTTGTTGGCCTCCACACTCATTGTGATGAAAAAAAGCATTTAGTCCAAATTTGGGGAGACATCTGTTAGCTCTATGGAGCAGTAAACATGTTTAATTAAGTACATTTCGGCAGACAGGGAGGTACTGATGTCAGCAATATGCCCTGGGTGTAATTATGCTTTTCCACCAAAGAAGTTACAGTGCGACCATTTTCACACCAGTGCGCCCCAATTAAATATGAGTACATATCAGTAAGTGAACGCGCCCATTTAGATAAGTGAAGTTTATGTACTTTATGACACACTAATGCTCTTGAGGCCTGCAGACAGTGTTGGGGAGTAACACAATGTACCTTTGTAAACTGTGTTTTGCTGTTTATTTTTGTGACATGTTATTGTTTTGTCTTTTTGTGCACGAGTAAAACAAAAAATAATGACTACTTTCTGGAGTATTAAGAGCCCCAGTACACAAACCGCCTCAGCGACATTTTACGAGAAAGTACTTTTTTTTTTTTAAATCAGCCAAATGTTTTCATGTTGTGATATAACAATTAACCAAAAACTGATGGAAAAAACAAAACCATAGACGACTGTTTTAACTGGACCCAACATGATTTAATGACAAGATGTTTTAACTCACTTCTGATGCGTGATGATCAAAGCACTTTGGTAAATCCAAGCTATTTTGACAATAACATTCATACTAACACTTAATGGAGTCAAAATTATAGGTTTCTATACAGTATATACTTCTGCTCTGGTAATAGTTATATTCAAATAACAACATGACACTTTCACATGTCTCTCTCTTCTGTTCACATAAACACACCAGGAAGCAGGAATGTGTGCTACATCATCGGCTTTGGAGATCAACAGCTGATGTCCAAAACCCTCCCTGCACACCAGGGGGCACTCATTCAAAATGAACATGCATGCATAGGCTGCATCTCTACATAAGCCTACTTTGAAAAAAGTTGCAGCTTAGTGTCCAGTCAGTACTTTATTATTTATATGTATAGTCAATATGTTTCTTCTGTAAGTATTCAGGATACAAACAAAAACAAACATTTTTGGGGATACATTTTGTTTTTTGATAAAGAAATTGAGGATTACAAAAAATTGATAATAAAATAAATATTTCCCATTCCTACAGAGAATCAATCATGTTCAGAATACATTGAAAGTATTACAAGTATTCGAAGTATTCAGAATAGAGTACTCTCATTTGACTATGAAACGGAATATGTTACAAATATTTTCCAGTATTCAATAGGTACATACATTTTGAAAGTATTCGCCTCAACACTGCCTGGAGATAAGTTCTGATAGTGTTTTCTCTGTACAGATTTTTGTCATATTTATGTTTAATCCACAGGAAACGGCTTAAAATCCCTTTTTCACTGAATGGGAATTTGTGTGGTAAGAGTTTAGCTGCTTCAGTTCACTTGATCTTTGAATTGTTATTTTGACTACTCTACCTTCTTTTGATGCAGTTGTCAAAATATGGAAACAAAGCGAGTGTCCCACAGAGACTCGCACTGCGCAGCTTTAATAACACTTACTGTATGGCATATCTATTTCAGTTTTGATGTGTACGGTCAATTTTCTGAAGTACATGCAAAAATAGATGAAGCTTTCTATTACTTGTGATTGAGTGTTGTAAGAGCGGCCGCAGATGATCGGCTTTGTAATCAGTTTGTGGCTGCCTTTGATTCTATTAAAACTGCATTATATTTCGTCTGATGGACTTGTGTAATCTTGTACACATTGATTTTTCTATCTTTCCGCAGCAGTGTTTGTGTGTATGTGCGTGTGTCCACCGCTCCAGCAGATGAATTATGATCTTGTGGACCGCATTACAGCAGCCAGTTTTAATCACACACGGATTCAGAGTGTTTTAAACAAATGTATTTTTGTAAGCATGCTGGATTATCATCAGATTTAAAGATTTGGAAATGGCTGACAGCTGTCAAGCCACATAATAACGTACGTCCAGAAAATTATAGCAGCTGTTGTTTGGCACAATGTCAATGCTGCTATCAAGATTAAAGCTCAAAAGGCAGGGACATAAGCCCACGAGCACAGGAGAGCCACAAAGACAGGCCAGAGAGTTTGATTTTGACTTTGGAGGTGACAGAAAAATGATGTATAACACAAAACCATCTCTGCGCCCATTCATTCCTTACACTACTTTCTCAGAGTTTTATTGCTGTTATAAAGTCACAATTTATTCTTTTTGAGTCCATTTCAGTCTGGCTATCTTGCCAAAATAAGTGCTATATACGCCACGAAGCTATCGCCATTTGTCTTTGAAGATTAAAAAGGTTGGATTTAAGAGTGTACTTATTTTGGTGTTAAATCTCCAAGGGCTATTGGCGTGGATTCATACGTGTAAATATACATCTAATAACTTCTGTGTTCATAATTTAAACTAGGGACTATTCTTCTACAAACGAATTGGCTCCAAAAAACCTTGCCTTTTATACGTCATTAGCATTTTATCTTCGCTCAAAGTAGTAGACTCCCTGAAGTCTATATCCAATTTTACTCCCTGGGAACAGCTTGAGAGGAGGGATGAGGAGACTGTTTAAAGGTTACAAAAGACAATAGTCCATGTCTTTACTCGGTACTTCGATTAGGGCGTTTTAATAACTCCTCAAATAGCCTGCTGTGCGCCGCTTGTGGCAGGAGAAAAGGTTGTCCTGTGCTCTATCAAGTATCCTCCAGAGCTCTGAAAACACCAGCAGTATTAGACTCAGCGGGGGCCCCTGTAGACACCTGCCGAAAAACAAGTACATGCCTCACCTACTGCTCCCTTGAGCCCGCGCACTGCCAATGTTTGTGTGTGCAGAGCCTAATTTATGCCATCCACACACAAGTCCACTGCTCTGAGGGAGAGAGCAGCAGCATCCTGTCGCACTGTCATTTGCAAACATGCATAAGCAAAGCATCCCACTCTTAAATCACAATGCTATGGGATCTGAAGAGGACATCTGACTGAATCTAAATAGAAAATACAACTAGAGGGACACAGATTCGAATCTGTTATCGATGCAAATGTGCAGCTTGAGACTCACTACACAGGGGCCTGAATACCAAATGCAAGCATCAGAAAGAGAGGGTAAAGAAGTGGCATGGTGGGAGAGGCTCAACAAGATCCTCACAAAGTCTAGCTGGGGGAAGATTCAAGAGACGGCTAATAACAGCTTCCTGCATAATAGGAGATGCCCGAGACTGCTTTGAGATAAGGTTACGAACACTTAGAGCCGAGGCAAGCAATTCAAAGACAAACAAGCAAAGGGATTATGTCGCTTTTTGCACATGGCTGCACTGGGTATTGTGGGAAATCATAAAGGAGCACTTCAAATACAGCTATGCCACCTGTAAGAAGCTCCAACATGCCTCTGAGAGACTGAGGGGACTCAAAACTACAAAGTACATACACTGTGACTGTGTAATGGAAATTCACCTCCAGGTATTGCTGTGTGTTGTATAGTTTAACAGTGAGAGTGTGCTCTTGATGGTAAATATATAGACAAGATGTGGGCAAACTTGACAGACAATTTACAAGTGGGTGGTTATGAGCAATTGATAAACACAGAATGGCCACATAGATGTATAGTGACAGATTGGCACTTGGCACGTTCAGCACGACTGATTGCTCAACCAGAAAGCTTTACGTTGAATGTCTCCAACTCATACGCTCATTCAAAAGACAGACAGTGCACTTTAGATTGAATATCATCCAGCATCAGCTTTACATTGTGTTAACAGAACAAAGTGAGGGTACAGCAGGTGAATGGTCAGTAGGTATTCTCCCCACAAAAAGCAAAACGTTCACAAATCATTCTGAATAACTTGGATAATGGTTGTTGGTTTGTTTTACGCACGGTAAGCATCTATACTGACTTCAACTATACAGACTTCAGCAAAGCATCCAAAAGGCAACGCAAGAGAGTTTTGTGGTGGGTCGGATCTGATGAGACACAATTATGTGGATTATTCTTACCTTGCGCCTGGGCACCTCGGATCACAATAGCCAGAAGAATCCAACAGGAGACCCACACCTGTGCGACCTGTCCGATGCTTTTCATCATGTTGTGCCGTGAAGCCAGCAGCAGAGCGGGACCTGCACGGCTCCTCTGTCCCCGTGTCCGCGCTGGGAACATGTTGCACGGTGGCCAGGCGCTCCGGACTGCTGCTGCTACTGCTGCTGGGAAGCCTCGCAGTGCGTCAGACCGCTGCTCACTACGGGCGCGGAGTGAGGGACTGGGGCTGAATCCAGTGCGCGCTCGTCGGGGGAAGGTCGGGGGGGAAGAGAGAGTGAGTATTAGGAGTCCGTGAACAAGTCCCGCTCCTGGCAAAGGCGGGGTCCAATTTTAAAAATGTTGGTGCACAGTTTGTCTTGGGCATTGGCTTCTGGTACAGCCTGCGTTTATTGGGATGCAAAGGGCACGGGAGGATGATTAAACAATGGGATCCCTGTAGGCTGCAAAAGAAATACAAAACATACATTAAACAAGCACTTTTGGCCCCTATATTCTTATATTTTACTCTTGTGCTCAATGTGTTCTTTTCCTGAATGCGATGGAAGTTACGCGCACCTTTGAACATGTGTTTTTGCAAATGTACCCAATACTCTCGAAAATATCACGGAATATTCCACATTTGACTTCTTTCGAAAAACTCACCACATGCTTGAGGCAGTGCGCTCTGTCAAAGTGAGCCAGTGTCCTCTGTGCGCTTCTGCCACCACGCGGCAGACCGTGGTACTAAGCAGAGCGTCATCTTGACAGTTGTGATGGATTGGCTTTTGACGCGTTCAAACTAAAAGGCTGTGATTTTCAAAACCAACATGTGACAAGTAAATTTGTGTTTTTGACGTGTTTTCTAAGAGGAAATATACAGGCCATGCTTTGGAAGAGAAGTTTTCTATAAAGTAAATTACAGTGGTGAAGAAGAAAGCATTTTCATAAAGAATGTCATGTTATCATTCTTCAGTTCAGAGAGTGACAACATGATGGGTACATGAAAAAGGCAGGAGTCGTTTAAAAGCTTCATACTGTAGGCTATGCCCCGTATGTTCCTAATATCTACTTTAATGTTCCAGCGTCTTTTGAACTCCCTCAAAAATGCACACAGGGCAAACAAACTTCAAAGAACTGTCATCCTCAGAAACACATTATCTATACTTATGTGCGGCTGCGTATGTGTGCGGTGTTAGATTTGTCACGTCTTTAAATAATGGTGGATTATTATTTACAAATAGACAACATTTGGTTCCCCATAACATAATAACATTTTTGAGGCACGGTATGCAACTTGAATTGAGGGGAATTGGCCATCTGCTAATCTCTGTTCATTGCTTGCTTTTCCCCTAAGGTTCTTGCATAATTTTGCTGTCACTGGTTTGATTCTGGTTAAACTACATTAAAAATTCACAGATTTATGAATGATAATCATACCAGAATCTGGTTTAATGCAAATACCTTCAACAGGTGTTTTGTGTTCTGTCTTGCCAATTAATTTTTCTCCTGTCTGCATATTGTGTCCGCAAACACAGATAAAAATGTAGATTATTTAATGAGCTAGCATTATTCGTTATATCAATTTTAGATGTTTGAATAGTAGACAGGTGAGTTCTGCATCTATAATTCTGAGCTTTAGAATGAGGTACAATATGTCTCGATTGATGAATAAGGTTGGACGAGTTGGAGTGGAGGCAGTAAATTCCAATGAGAAAAAAATGCCAAAATTTTAGCCAGTTATCAATGTCTAACGAGACTTCCAAATCACCCAATTTAATTGGCAAATCCTTGATAATTGGTGGTTCACTAGATACAGTACAAATTGTTTTCTCATTCTCTCTCCTTATCTGTCTCTTTATTTGTCTGCAACAAGTTCCACAGGACAGAAACACATTAAAACAAGAAAAAAAAACTTCCTTATCCTGCTTGTGTGTATTTTGCATCATCTGGTTTGGAGAATGGCTTGGCAGTGTATCGAGGAGTGTTCCTTATGGCATAGGGAACTAATGCTACTAGTGTTCACCAATGGTACTGGTCTCTCAAGTGAAGCTGGCACATGGTTACAAACCCAATACATAGGCTTGTCACAATAATAACGCTGGCACTGTGGTTGGCACATGTGTTTCACAGCAAGTGGGCCCTGGGTTCAATTCTGTGCCTTTCTGTGTGAAGTTTGCATAGACTTCTCTGGGTGCTCCGGTTTCCCCTACCACTAAAACATGAACAATATACCCTCCTCCTGGCCCCTCCTCCTGCACCCAGGACTCCCTTGAAAAAGAGACTCTAAAATCCATGTGGGACTTTCTTGGTTAAATAAAGGTCAGTCTCAGTGATACTGACTCTATTCTCTGCAGTGACACAATTGTTTGCGTCCATCAGAGGCACAACATTATGGAACACCCTGCCGGAACATATATACAGGTATGTAACTGTGGGACTCACCCACATTTAACCTCCTGAAATATAGGTTGAAATCAAACAGGTGATGCGCCCAAATGATTCTTTTCCTTGGACTTTCTCTTCTCTTTTAAATGGGCAACACAGTGGCTGAGTGGATAGCACTCTTGCTTGTCAGAAGGTCCTGGTTTCGAATAGCGGTCTGAACATGGCCTTTCTGAGTGGAGTTTGCATGTACAACAGGAATGAATGTAGTGAGTGAATGGATGGCGTTTTGCTTCCGTCATCATCGTGTGTGGAATGAATGAAACAATATCTGACCATTGTAAAGCGTTATGGGTGACCTTGATCTGTAAAGACGCGCTTTTTAAATAAAGCACTTATTTACTTACTAAATTCTTTATGTTGTACTTGTTGAGTTTTGTTTTATGTATTGTGCCTAACTGTATGTTCCTACCTGCCTTTGGAAAAAGGAAGCAATTTAGCTATTGCTAAATGCTAATTCCAGCATATTTATGTTTGCTGACACAATGATTCATATTTACTGTCCTAAACCTGAACCAATGTCTCCTGATAACGCAGATTTGTATAAAAAAAAAATAGCTAAAATCCTGCCAATTTGACCCCTAAAGTATTCCCCCTTCCATCAATTGCATGAGCACCGGTGAGATCAGCAGACGATGGAACAGGCACAAACAGGTGGTGCACACTCAGTCAACATAGTGCCGCTTTATGCTTTATATACTTCACCCACGAGACATTGTTCATCATGTCTTTTATGTCTTTTATGAGTTGCTTTGTCGAGTTCATCTTTTATCTAACAAATACATGTACATGCTTTTTATAGTGCTTTTTCATAACGAGACAGTATATGCCAAGGCAACGAAAGGCTCAGTGGGTGTCATCCATAGCTTACCATCTGCATTTTCTTCCCCCCATTCTCCCTCCTGCGTCACCTATGCTCCAAGCACCTCCCGGTAATGATGCACTGATTATGAGGCTCTTAGGCCAGCAGATTGCTCTCTGGTCTCATTCGCATGCAGTGGAAAATTGCTACTGTCTTGGTGCCCCCTCCCCTGCTGGGAGTTTCGGGTAGGTTGACATTAGCAAGCAGCTGGGGAAGCGGCGTAGACACCAGGGCATGTGCCCCGGTGCAAGGATTATAACTCATGTGCAGCTCGCAGGTGGCTGCTGGGTGTGAGTGGACATGAACTGGTTTGAGATGGGACAGTAGGACACCAATGTTATCGTTTGTACATTTCCTTTGGCAAGATTTTTGGTATTTTCTTTGTGATACAAGAATATGTTTTTTGTCCGAGGATATTCAACACGGCTCCCAAAGGGACGTTGTGTCTGCAGGTTTTTGTTCCAACCATGCAGCTCACACCACAGTCAACCCATTTCAGATTAAAACTGGACTCACTTGAGTTGGAAGGAAAACCTACTGCACGTCGGCCCTTTGACGGCCAAGAGAAACACCCCTTGGCCATGACAGTCACTTTATTTACCGTCTAGGGGTTCATTTAGAATCAAAATTATTTTTATTGCCATGTGAGTAACAAGAAGTCACAAACTAGGATTAGTTTGGCACTTGGTGCGAACAAGTTGAAAAAGTAAAATATAGAATAAGGCATGCATAAAATAAACATTTCTTAGAATGACTACTATATAAAAGTGCACTATAGTCGCACACTATAGAAATTCAGACATTTATGGGTAATTCCTTGTTTAATTTGGTTATTGGTTTCATGTTCCCTTTTATTAATTCATACTTTTTCATAGGCCCACTGGGGAATTGGGATCATGATGCTATATTTGTGTCTAATTCCTGGGCTGGCCCATGCCTTTCATTGTGGAGTTTGCTTGTTTCACCTTGTGTCTGTGGGTTTCTTTTGGGCGCTCCGGTTTCCCCACCACCATAGCTCCAGGAGTCCTGACTCCTGACCAAGCCAAGCATCACCATCTGTAGATGGGTCCCCTGGTGCTGGCTTGGTGGTATTGTAGGATGGGTCAAATGCAGAAGACAATATGGAGATAAAAAAGTATGCCTCAGTAATAAGATATTTCATGTAGAAAATGATGACAGGTTGTGTTACTCAGAAGGACAGGAATACATGAACACATATTTGTCATTGTGGTAATAGAACACTCATTCTTTTATTTCTTTTGAATAGCCGATGTCAGTCCTTGAAATTGCATTTATCATGTTATTGGCAGAAGGAAAAAGGAATATAAACCCACGGTGTGGGCTTTGAATTTCAATTCATGGGAAGCACTTCTTTGCACCATTTCAAAGCCTAAATGTGAAGTTGTGTGAAGAGGAGCAATAGGTAAATAATAATAATAATAATAATTATAATAATAATGCATCGGTTTTATATATATAGGTTTTTGGACACTCAAAGACGCTTCACATGTCATTATTCTTTCACTCCATACACGGTGGTGATAAACTACTACTGCAGCCACAGCTGCCCTGGGGCACACTGACAGAAGCGAGGCAACCAGTATGTGCCATCGGCCCCTTCGACCACCACCAACCATTCACACACACACCAGACTCATTCTAGGCAATGGGGGTAAAGTGTCTTGCCTAAGGACACAACGGCAGTTTGGCACTTTACAGCCGCAGCCGCCCCACTGTGGCTGGTGTTCCCAGAGGTTAACAGTGTTGCCAAGGATACAACGACAGTAGACAGTGAAGGTTTTTCTTATTCCCACTCCTTTTCAGGCAGAATCATACATGTTTATACCGTACATTTATTGTTTATACTTTTTTTTGTACTGTTTTTGTTTATTTAGTTTTGACTGTTTGTTTTTTTGCACTATATGATTTATATTATTTAACTGCATTTAATTACCTTATTTACTCACCTATGCCTTTGCCTGAAATAAATTAAAATGAATGAACAAATGAAAGTCAGGCTTGAACCGCCATCCCTCTGGCTCTAAGGCCAACGCTCTACCAACTGAGCCACTGTCGCCTTGTGAAATGAGTAGAAAATCTTACTGATTTAAATTAATTACATTGAGCACCTCTGCAACAATGGCATAATCATTGTACCTGCGTATTGTATATATACCTACAGGTGTTCGCACCAGAGCAACACAACAACCTTGATGTAACACCAAAACTAAATAAATACCATTTTGAACCAGGCAATAGAGCCCACAGCAGAGAATATTTGAAAGCTGTTCTCATTACTATCAGCTGGAACGGTTTGAAATGGCTTGATTAAATGGGATACGTTTGAGATTGGCCCAGCGCTGC